CATGCATTTTAGATTTTTCTGGTTAAAATTGCGATTTAATTATATATATATATATTAGGGGTGTAACGATACACGTATTCGTATTGAACCGTTCGGTACGAGGCTTTCGGTTCGGTTTTCGGTACGCATTTTTGAACCGAACGGTTCGTTGGACCATTTTTCCTGCCGACCAAAATTTCGTTATTTCAAATGAAGGCGCGTCACGCGTGGCAAGCGCGCTCATAATGTGCGTGACCACAACATTGCCCAACATCAAATGGCAAATGTAATGTAAGCGGAACGAAACCACTCGTTATTGTGTGGTTGAAGGACCGTTTATCAGTTTGGACAAATACAGCGCGAGCCGATCTTAATCATCAGCACTGTTACTACACAGCCAAATCCAGTAAAGAAAGCATTTGAATTCGCCACTGAAGTTATAACATCGCTGCAAGATCTAGTGAGAAACATTCGCATTTCTCCGTTATTAACGGATCAAACAGCGCTGACGTGGAAACCAGGAAGAAACATTGTGCCATGAATGAACTATCCAGTGTCCACAGATCAGCAACATTCACCATGGGTTTACTGTAGTAACACTACTAACTGTAACCATGGAAGTTTGGCAGGAATAGTAGGCTATAATGCTTTCAAGTAACATCACGTCGGTTTTATTTTGACATTATGAATACAATTGCTGCCCTCAAATGTTAATCTGAACTAAAATAAACCTTTGTTTATAACTACTACAATATTACATTTAATTTTGTCCAAGGAGCTGTTTTGTTTTATAAGCTCCTAAGAAAAGTCAAGTATAGCTCCATCATTGCTCAAAGTTAAAAAATATCATACTTTATGATGTTAGTTTTAATAAAAATATAATTAAAAAGATTAAATCAAGGAAATTTCTCTGGCATTTCTTTCTTTTTGCTGTATCGGAAACGTACCGAATCGTACCGAACCGAACCGTGACACAAGTGTATCGTATCGAACCGAACCGTGAATTTTGTGAACCGTTACACCCCTAATATATATATATACACACACACAGTGCTTAGAGAATAAGTGAACACACCCATGCTAAAGTTGACTACCCTTCACAATATAGACATGGTTTTATTTCAGTTAGCCTAACTGAACATTTATACATAAATACTATATTGTATTTAGACAGTATCACATATTTTACCGGAGGCTGAAATATATTTCACTAAATCATTATATAACCAAAGCAGTTATTCGCAAACAAAATAAATTACGCATAAGGCAGTATTTTAGCATGATAATCAGTGTCATAAACTAATCTCAAAACTGAGTGAAATATATGTAGTAGGCTAATATCACATTTAAAAAGTTTACACGAGCGTATAGGTCTACATATAGCGATATTGTGACTGTGAGGAAATCTTTCCTACGTCAAAAGCTAGCTAAAACTAGGCAAAATATAGTCTGAAAATTCGTTTGAGCTCTATAATCAGAAAATGAATATATAACACTAAACAACTTACTCCGAGCTTGTATCCTCGGCGGGGTCAATTCGTTCTTCAAAATGCAGCCGTTGGTCGTCCGAGTTTCAAATTCGGACGACCGAATTTGTGAAGGAAAAGGTGAATCCTTCCCTGCTGTCCAGAATCATCTGAAGGAGTAGAGTGCCATTCTCAAAACGCGATGAACTATCAGTGAATCTGATGGAGAAACTTCGTGTTTTTATGCCATTGATCGCTGGGCGTGTGCTTTGCATAACGTTAGGTCACCTATTTACCATGTGAAAAGCGCTGGGGGCGTGGCGGCCTCAGCTAATTAAAGATAATGAACTGAGAACGAAAAAACTGTACCTCTCCTTGGTTTCAAACGGATTACATAAACTGGAAATATTTCTTTTTTTAATAAATTACTTCATTTAAAAGAAGAGAATACAAGCTTTAAAAAGACACGTCTCGTATCTCTGTGACAAGTATTGACTTAGTTACAGTTCATTTTTCGGACGCGTTTCAGAATGGACCTCACTGACAGTGAGAACACAGAACGCGCATCATGTTTATTTTTCTTTATTTGGCGAAAAGCACAACACTTTGTTTTTATTGTGAGGTTCCACAAAAAAAATACAAACTTAACAGGATCGAATGATGTATAACACTTATATGTAAGATCAAAATCAACAGAGTAATTATAGTCTCTTTTGCACTGATAAGGAAAAAAGTGAGCTGGTATCGCCGGCGATACCGCCGACCCCAGAGAGTTAAATGCCACGGCCTACCTGAGCATCGTTTCTGACCATGTCCATCCCTTTAGGGCCACCATGTACCCATCCTCTGATGGCTACTTCCAGCAGGATAATGCACCATGTCACAAAGCTCGAATCATTTCAAATTGGTTTCTTGAACATGACAATGAGTTCACTGTACTAAAATGGCCCCCACAGTCACCAGATCTCAACCCAATAGAGCATCTTTGGGATGTGGTGGAACGGGAGCTTCGTGCCCTGGATGTGCATCGCACAAATCTCCATCAACTGCAAGATGCTATCCTATCAATATGGGCCAACATTTCTAAAGAATGCTTTCAGCACCTGGTTGAATCAATGCCACGTAGAATTAAGGCAGTTCTGAAGGCGAAAGGGGGTCAAACACAGTATTAGTATGGTGTTCCTAATAATCCTTTAGGTGAGTGTATATACATACATGCATATATACTGTATATACACTCACCTAAAGGAGTATTAGGAACACCATACTTAGGAACGCCAACACAGGAATAAATTGCATTTTAAAATACATTAAAATAGAAAACAGTTATTTTAAATTGTAACAATATTTCACAATATTACTGTGTGGCAAGCAGGACAAGGCCGGTGGCGTGATTGATAATGAGCGACACCTGCGCGACGCACCGGTCTCGTGTCTCTCACGGAGGAGCGGAAGCATAAAAGGAGGAGCGATGACAGTGAAGATCGAGAGAGGACCAGGCTTGGACTGTTTTATTTGATGTTTTGTTTTATTATGTGTGGCGGCAGTCGTCCGTGAGGGGCTGCCGTCTTTACTTTTATTTTGTATTTATTTATTAAAGTATTTTAAATGTCAGCCGGTTCCCGCCTCCTTCCCATAACTAGGAACTACGTTACACACTGTTTTTGCTGTATTTTGGAGCAAATAAATTCAGCCTTGGTGAGCAGAAGACTTTGTACTTGTCTTAAAAAACTTTTTAAAAAATCAAACCGTTCTAAAACAGTAGTGTGTTTGTGTTTATGTATGTATTGTAAAATGTATACATACTGTACATATATGTATACATATATGTGTGTCTGTGTGTGTGTGTATTTAATGTATATTTAAATAATTTGTTTATCTGGTTTTTTTTTGTACTTACACACAGTGGATATAAGAAGTCTACAAACCCAGAACTGCTGGTTTTTGTCACGTGAAAAAAATTAAACGAATTATATTTATGTACAATTAAATGATATGAAATATTTTGTACCTTCAATGTAAAAATAACAATCTATGCAATATCACTGAAAACCAAAGTGACATTTCAGAGAATAAAAGATACAAATAAAAACAGACTTCTTATATCCACTGTATGTTTATATTCACAAAGTTGATACACGCTCACCAAACATGTTCATTTGTCTCTGTTATCAGCATCAGTGTGATTCTTTTGTGCTGCTGGACTGATCTGTAAAGCTCTTGCTATCTATAACTCTCTAGACATTCAGACAACATTTGACCTCTCGTCTTTTGTGCTGAATTCAAAGGCAGAATCATGCAACAATGGAGATGCTGACCAGACACTGAATTCTTATGCTATGTCTGCATTCATTCATTGCTTTTAATGGTTTCAGCCAGCTGTAAATTGTAAAAAGAAGGAAGTAACAGATTTATCTAATTTAACATTAAAGCTTTGTGATTCTAAAGACGAGATGGAGCTGCAATCATCAGTATGATGGAGAACGTTCTTCTTAACAGCTCATTTATTAATAAATCAAATCAACCGGTTATTTGAAGTATTTGCATGGTGAAAATTATCACTGAAGCAAAAAGTATTAAACATCATTTACTAGTAAAACACACGTACTGATGTCATTGTTCTTAAGCATATGAACTGCATAAGTGTAAATTATAATGTATCCGATGTTTAAATACTTTCAGATTTCGACAGATTCAAAATATAAGATTAATTGCTATTTAATTACTATAAAAAATCAGATGATTAGGCTAATTCTCCTTGAGAATTTTAATTAGGGCTGTCAATTGAATCATTTATGTTGATTGAAGTGTCTTTAAATGGCAATATATTTGTTTTATATCTGTATAATTGATCATAAACTGATCATTGATATACTCTCTAGCAATCCATTGTACAACCTACACTCATTTGAAATACTTTACTCTGGCTACATTTCTGCAAAAACTACAATTTGCTGCATTTTTCAGGTGACATATCCTCAAGAGGCGCAATATCATTTATTTCTAAATTGCAGATGTGTGAAAAAAAACATGGGGAAAAAAACCTTCTGTTGGTCATTTGCAAAATGATAATGCTTTGCTTTTCACGTTTCATGCCATTTTCGAAGTGAAATAGCATCTTCGGTTTTCTCCGGAACAATTAAATGTAACTGGCAACAGATTTATTTAGTTTATTTTACAAAACGTTTGTTTACAATGCTTATATACTTAGCAGTGTTTTGGTTGACTTTGAAGGAGTGCTATTTTAGTATCATTGAGATACTATTAGAGTTTGGTTAGAGGAGCTAGTTATACAAATGGTTGATACAAACGTCATAATATATTAGTTAACAAATCATGCACGATGATAGTGTTTTTTGGTCATAACTTAGTATTGAATATACAATATGTATGTATCTTGTATGTATAGGTATGTTTTTGTAAAAATGTAATTTCCAATGAGCCTAGGTTTCCATTTTGCCGATCCTTCCTTATATTGATCTTTATTGTTGGTGTTTATTTGTAAAAGTAACGATAGTTTTTTGAGATGTTAATATGTTTATTCTTCTCCATTAGGTTTTCTCCAGCTCCCCGTGAGCAGAAGTGTTTCTCGTTCTCCTGATCCGCTCTGTCATGATGTCACGGTACCATCAGCGTTTTGAGCGGGATTTCCGTGGCGTGTGGGAGCGGAGGGAGCGTTGCATCACCAACAGCAGCTGCGGTGGCACTGTTAATGGCTGTGTCTCCACGTCTGCCTCTTCCGTCCCCAACAGCGGCAACAACCGTCCCGGCCTCCTCCCCCTGCCCGTCATCCCCTCGCTGCTGCCCACCCCGGTCACCGGGACAACCAACACGTCCAATAGCGAGCTGACCTGCAAGCGATTAGCTCCCACCTGCACGACCTCCACGACTAAGGTAAGACTGAACACACCTGTGGCCACTGTCTCATGCTGCGTTTACTTGCCCTCGTGTCATTCCAAACTGGTATCACTTTATTTTCTTTTTTTGAGACACAATAGAGAAATGTTCAGGTTTCAATGGTAATTCACACTGCCAAGGACTAAAACTGCCCATGAAAGTGCCCATACCTGACTCATGCAGGTTTGGATTTGTGGTTAAGTTTGAACTATACTATTATAGTTTTTATCTTTCTGTTTTCATTAAAATTTTTGGTAAAGTTTTAGTAATTAATTGTGTTGTGTTTTTGCCATTTTTATTAGATTTATATTTTTGTTTTAAAAAGGCCTATTTAGTTTTTATTCATTTTATTCAGTTTTAGTTTTAGTACATCAAGTTAAACATAATTTGTATTAGATTTATATTTTTGCTTTAAAAAGGTCTGTTTAGTTTTTATTCAGTTTTAGTTTTAGTACATCAAGTTAAACATAACTTTAACAAATAGAAATGAGAAATGTTGCCTTGGTAACTAGCTGAAATAAAATAAATAAAGTTTTGTTTTTATATTTAATTTTATTTCAAGTAATTACATGGTTTTACTTTTCGTTAACTATAATAACCTTGCTTTCGAAATCCATTTAGCTTCCAATCTGACATATTTCTGTGTGTAATAGGAAGGGAAAAGTGTTGGTAAGGGGGAGGCCATATGACCAAATTCTTATTTCACAATATGATAAATGTTATTTCATAACGATATATATCAAAATATAGTTTTTTGTTGTGTTATTAGGTGTTCAAGCACGAAGTGCTGAAAACCTATTGTAATCGTCCTGATTTTTATTATTATTTTTCTCCTGTAAAACGCATCGTGCAGCCCAAACCGTAAGGGCTGGAGCCTTGAAACTTTGCCAGATGGTAGTACAAAAATCGAGGAGAGGTTATCAAAGTATGAGCCCGATTGGCCCATAGGTGGCGCTATAGCAAGCAAAAGTAGGAAATCGTGCATAACTCCTAGACCATTTATCCCAGAATCAAGTGTCTTATATCCCTGTAATCCTTGGCTCAAGACGGACAAAACGTATATCTCCGATTTTATTTGCGTCTGGAAAAATTTTCCGCCATCTTGGATTTTGTCCAAAACCTACTTTTGCGAACTAGTCCCTGGTTTTTCACCCGATTGGAACCAAACCAGTGTAGAAATGTTCTCTGGAGTCTGAATATCAATAATTATCGAAAAAACGTTGAATTTTCGATTCACGGTTGCTAAGGGGCGTCAAAACGTTCGCAGGAGGCGGAGCTAATTTTACTAAAATGGGTATAACTCGTGAACAAAATAAAATAATTTCACCAAACTCGGTACACGTATGTATGAGCTTTATTTGAGGTCACAGTAAAAAAAATCGCGACGATCGAACACTAGGTGGCGCTATAACATGAAAAAAACATATAAAGGACTGACAGTTAGTCCGATTGACTTGAAAATTGGTATACAGTGTCTTGGTCCAAGGCACCATGTATGTGTATGAGGACATTGGCATATCTCAAAAAACATGGCCGCCATCGACAAATGAATTTTGAGCCCCTATGAGACGAGGTTAACGGAGGCCAATCAGAACGAAACTCGATGGGCATGTTCGACTCATGGCCTAAGAGGTCTGTAAGAGTTTTGAAAGAAATCGGCCACTAGTTGGCGCTAACGAGTTTTACGGCTCTTTAATCACGTGGTGTTGCACATATCCCCACAAAATGCATATCATATGATAGACCTCCTCATGGTGAACAACTTTGCCTCTAGAACCATTGCTGTCAATCAAATCGTTCATTAAATATTCACGAATATGTTAAAAACCTACTTTTGCGAACTAGTCCCTGGTTTTTTGCCCGATCAAAACCAGACCAGTCTAGGACAATTCTCTGGACTCTATAGATCAATAATTATCAAAAGAAAGTTGAACTTTGCCCTTTGGTTCACTGTAACAGGGTCATTTAGAAAAGGGGCGTGTCAAAATACACTCAAAAGCCTATAAATCATAAATGAAAACTCAGAACTTGACAAAAATTGATGAGCATATGTGTCATACCATGGTGAGGAAGCATTCAAAGTTTCATGGAGATCGGACCATAGGTGGCGCTATAACTGTTAAAAAGCTTTAAAACCATACATTTCCTATGGTAAATTGCCTGTATTGGCTGTAAATTGTCTTTTCCATCTATGATCGTATACTTTTCATATCATAATGTTTAAAACCAGTGCAGTACAATTCTCTGGACTCTCTGGATCAATAATTATCAGAAAAGGTTGAACTTCTGCATTTTGATGGCTATAAAAGGGTCACTTCAATGTGTAGCCTTGACCGAGTGTGCCCGAAAGCCTATATCTCTTCAATGAATGCTCAGATCTTATTAAAAACAACTCAGAACATGAGACCTATCACTCTAAACAAGCATGACAATTTTCAGACAGATCGGACAAAATTTGCCTCTATTACAGTTAAAAGGGGGGAAATTATATGACCATAATGGCATATTAAGCCAATAAGTGGTATTCTACTGCCCCCTGCTGTTTAAAATAGTCATTTTGTCATAATGCTGACTATTATTGTTCTATAATTCATATTTAGAGTTTATATAATCAATATTTTAACATTTACAATCACATTTAGTCAAAATTCATTGTCACATTGACAAATGTGAACCCTGAATGAGACAGTTTAATCTACAATAGAATGTGTGTGTGTGTAGTTCCATGTTTCTGAATAAATCCATATGTGACATAACATCATGAACATGCATGCAAAGTTTTATGGAGATCGGACCATAGGTGGCGCTATAACTGCCTGTATTGGCTGTAAATGGTCTTTTCCATCTATTATGTCAGTGTTTAAATGTATGCTACATAAAACTTAATGTCTTTTGATGCTTTTGTGCTTAACGGCCTTAAAGGCCTTAACTGCTTGAACACCGCTAAATGCTGCTTGCAGCTTTAATTTTATCTTATTTCTGTTATAAAAAAAAGCAAATTACAAACAATAGTACAATTCTAATAATAATTAAAGCTGCAAGCAGCATTTTAGCGGTGTTCAAGCAGTTAAGGCCTTTCAGGCCGTTAAGCACAAAAGCATCAAAATACATTAAGTTTTATGTAGCAAGCATGATTTACCATGATATACTACATTTCAGTGTGATTTTTCATGATTTACCATGTTCCAGTATGATTTACCATGAATCTAACATGATTTTTCCATAGTTTACCTTGATATACCATGTTATAGGATGATTTACCATGATATAGCACATTCTAGGATAATTTACCAGGATTCTAACATGATTTACCTTTTTTACTATGATTTACCATGTTTCTGGCGTTATTTACCATGATTTACCACGTTGATAGCAATTATGTGAAGCATAAGAACAATTGAAGTGATAAACGCTGACAAAATAAGAATGTGTTATAATAGTAATTGTTATATAAGTGATTTTATAGTGTCTATATACAAAAAAAGACTATTAATAAGAAGAGTGGCCAGCAGAGGGCAGTAGAAGACCACTTATTGGCTCACTTTCATTTTCAACTACTTTGTTTCTCCAGTATTCTCCACTGAAGCAAACCATTTTTTTCATGTTAACTCCATAATGCATGCTTTCACACACACACACACACACACACACACACACACACACACACACACACACACACACACACACACACACACACACACACACACACACACACACACACACACACACACATTTTTGGGATATGTTATTGTGAAAATCATATAAAAAAAGATTAAAAATATCTAATGCTGCTGCTTCATCTAGTGGACAACAGTGCTATTACAGCCTACTTATACAATAGGCCATGTTTTCATATAATTTAATCTACACACGCTCATTCTGATGTAGATAGAGACATTTGGAACTTCAGGAGCCAATGTGACTCAATTGTCACTTCAATAGACGATTTTTGACTAAATGTTATTGTAAATGTTAAAATAGTGAATTTATAAAGTCTAAATATTAATTATAGTTGAGTAGTGTGACAAAATGACTTTTTTTAAACAGCAGGGGGCAGTAAAATACCACTTATTGGCTGTTAGCCTTTTTTCAAGCAGTTATAGCTGTTCTTGACCTTTTTTTTAAGAAGCTATGAGCATTTATTGAAAAGATATTGCCTTTCGGTCAAGGTTACATATTGAATTGACCCTATTATAGTCATACAAATGAAGAAGTTATACATTTTTCTATAATTATTGTTCTAGAGAGTACAGAGCAATAGATGAATTTTGACAAAATGTGATTGTAAATGTTAAAATAATGATTTAATAAAGTCTAAATATCAATTATATATAAAAATATTAGAGAGTAGTATGATGAAATGACAGCAGGGGGCAGTAAAATACCACTTATTGGCTGTTATAGCCATCCAAGCTGTTATAGCTGTTATAGCCATCCGATTTACACTCTATTATAGCCATCCAAATGAAGTAATTATACCTTTTCTGATAATTATTGATCTAGAGAGTCCAGATAATTGTACTGCACTGGTTTTAAACATTAAGATATGAAAATTATACGATCATAGATGGAAAAGACCATTTACAGCCAATACAGGCAATTTACCATAGGAAATACATGGTTTTAAAGCTTTTCAACAGTTATAGCGCCACCTATTGTCCGATCTCCATGAAACTTTGCATGCTTCTTCACCATGGTATGACACATATGCTCATCAATTTTTGTGAAGTTCTGAGTTTTTATTTATGATTTATAGGCTTTTGAGTGTGTTTTGACACACCCCTTTTATAAATGACCCTGTTATAGCGAAGCAAAGGGCAAAGTTCAACTTTTTTTCGATAATTATTGATCTAGAGTGTCCAGAGAATTGTCCTAGACTGGTCTGGTTCCAATCGGGCGAAAAACCAGGGACTAGTTTGCAAAAGTAGGTTTTTAACATATTCGTGAATATTTAATGAACGGTTTGATTGACAGCAATGGTTCTAGAGGCAAAGTTG